GAGAGCCAGTCGGACTTCGCGCTCGTTCCTGCCATAAGGAACTTGACGATAGGCGCGACAGCCTCATCGTCCCGATACGCCATGCGTATCCGATCATATAGATCCATTGTCACCCGCGTGATGTGGGCCAACTTATAGTCAGGACGCCGAGAGAGGGCGTCCACAAGCACGTTGAGCTTGCCCGGCTTGTATTCGACGCGGAAGTTGTATTCCGCGAAGAAGGACAGCCACCTCGCCATCCTTTGGGAGAGGTGAGGCGAGTTAGTCGCCGTCCTCAAGGACGCGTGGTCTGTGTAGATCACAAAGGGCCTAGAGCCCAGAAGGTGAACACGAAACTTCAGAAGGGTATATTTCATTGCCAGGAGCTCCTTGTCGTGGACAGAGTAGTTCCGCTCAGCGGCTTTGAGCTGCCTGGGCTGGAACGAGATGACTCGTTCGTGTCCAGCCGTGTCGGCCTGCAGCAATGCACATCCGATGGCGTAATCGGAGGCATCGCAGACGACGCTAAACGGCTTTGTCTCGTCCGGCAGGGCCAGGACAGGGGCCTCTTGGAGACCGGCCTTGATGCTGTCGAAAGCATCCTGGTGCTCTTGCTCCCAGCGCCAGTCGACGTCCTTCTAAAGGAGACTCGACAAGGGCTTAGCGAAGCCCGCGTACCCTGCGCTGTACTTGTGAAGGTAGTTGGCCAAGCCCAACCACTTTCGAAGATCCTTCTGGGATCGGGGCGTCAACCATGCTGCTATGGCCTTGACCTTGTCTGGGTCAGCCCGAACGCCCACATTGCTTACGAAGCAGCCGAGAACTTTAATCTCTGGTGACGCGAAAACGCACTTGTCGATGTTGGCGTAGAGCTTGTTCGCTCGCATTACGTCCAACACTCGACGGAGGTGTCCTAGATGCACCTCTATGGCCGTCTTGCCTCCCTCGGCACGGCTATGGACGAAAATGTCGCCGAAGTACGTCTGTACAGTACGAAGGTACGCAAAGGGCGGAACAATTGCGTCACCAGGCGATTGAACGTCACCGGGGCGTTAGACAAGCCCTGCGGCATGACGAGCCACTCCCAAAGCATGCCGCTTGGAGTGCTTACCGCGGTGAGCGGGATGTCACTCTCTCGCATCAGGATTTGGTAGTATCCGTCTACCAAATCCAGCGCACTGTACAGTACGCTCTCGTCCATGTTGTTCAACAACACATCCTTTCGTGGGATCGGTGTTTGGGCCGGCACCGTTGCGTTGTTCAGCTTGTTATAAGCGTGAACCAGGCGCCACTTTCCGTTCATCTTCCGAACGCAGAAAGTCGGCGTCGAGTGCGGGGATTTCGATTCCCGCACCATGCCTGCCTTCGCTTTCGCGGCGAAGAAGGCATCAATGACCTCGCACTGTTCGCGCGGGAGAGGCCATTGCCTCGTGACACAATACTTTGTGCCGGGCACGAGATCAATCTCGTGCCGTACGCCTCGATCCGGTGGGAGTTGGGTCGGTGAGTGTTTGTTCACCACGTCCGCATACTCCGTCACCAAAGGATACACCGGATCCTTGGGGTTCTTAAGAATCTCAGAACCCAAGCGCGTCTGACGCTGCTTGTTCATGTCTTCCAGGACGTTCTCGTCCAGGACAGAGGAGGAGTTCGGCTCCTCCCGAGTGGTCTCAGGTCTCATGAGTACCATCTCAGCGATCTCTCCAGCCTTGAGGTTGGCCAGGAAAGACTCAGCCGTCATTTCCTCGAGGTTCAGTATCTCTGCAACCTCTGGCAACGGTTCCAAGTGGACACCAGATGCCTTGACGGGTAAACCCGTCTCGCTATCGAAGATGTGATAACACTCTTCCACCGGCCTTGTCGGAGGAGCCCGGGCCCTGGACTCCGAGTCGCTTGAAGCGACGTCGATCGGAACGAAGTTCGGATCCGACTTGAGGCGGCGGCGGCGTCTTTGCCGACGGCTTCTGTGACGGGGAGCTTTGCTGCCCACGTCTAGGGATGTCGTCGCTACGACATCCGAGGCACTCGTGGCCTCGTGTGGTACTGTTGTACCCACACAGGAAGCGTGTTCAACGCCTTCCTCTTCAGTTAAGGTCTGGGCGACCGCGTGTGGCACTGTGTTACCCACACAGGAAGCGTGTTCAACGCCTTCCTCTTCAGTTAAGGTCTGGGCGACCGCGTGTGGCACTGTGTTACTCACACAGGAAGCGTATCCGACGTCTTCCTCTTCAGTTATGGTCTGGGCGACCGTGAGTGGAACTCTGTTACCCACTCTGAACACGCTGTTCTCAGTGTTCATGACAGCTGCAGCTGTCTGCGGAACTAAGTTACCCGCCTGTGGACCTAAGTTACCCACTTGGCCGGCGCCTCTTCTGGGCGCGGCCACCATCAAAACATCCTCGGAGTCGTCATATACGTCGACGACTCCCAAGCATCTGCCGGATGCTTTGGTACCCTGGCAGCCCTTGCGGGCGCCCCGGGTCCTGACAGAGGTGGGAACATGACTCACCAATGCTCTGTCGGACTGCGCAGGGCGGCTGGCACCGATTGCCTTGCCTCGCCAGTCGATCCAGGGCTCGTGCTTCTCAAGCCAGGGCATGCCCAGGATCATATCATATGGATCCATATCGAGAACAGTGAGCTGTTCGAGGCTGTCAAAGTCTTCAAACTTGACGGCCAGATCCACTTGGACGTTGAGGACAGTGACGACCTTCCCGTCGGCCAGTCGCACTGACACCGTCCAGTTGCCCTTGCTTTCTCTCAAAGCATCGGACAGCTTGTTGCTGTTGCAAGCGACCGTCTGGCGGCGTGCGAAATTCTTCGACGCCCCAGAATAGATCAATATTTTAAAGGAATGATCGTATCCCCGTACACATCCGTGTACTACGAGCAACCCGCCGCTGCTCTTCGCCGATTCGAGAGTGCGAAGCGAAGACTCTCAGGGGCTAAGTCCCCGTGGTATGTGCCACCCGCGCACCCATCACGAAGACTTAGTTCTTCCCCAGTAGGGCGCCCCGCCCCTACTGGTTCCCGGCTTTCCCCTGTCCCCGGGATCCTGGCTTCTGCCAGCGACCCTTGAGGACGGGCTTGGGGAAGGACCGTCTGTGGAGTCTTTCCGCGGGACAGTCGCGCTTGAAGTGGTCCATTTTCCCGCAGTCGAAGCAGCGGATGTCACGCTGTTCGGCGGGCCCGAGTTCCATGGGAACTGGTCCGTTGGGGCTTGTTCGACCGGGAGCCGACAAGGAGCTCCCAGGCCATGCTGAGGCCGGTGTACGCGCCTGGCGATGGCTGTACGCTTCTTGAAGAGCCACTTGAATCGCCTCTTCAAGGGTGCTTGACTGCACCCGGAACAGCTGAGCGCGTGCGGGGCCCACTCGAAGGCCGTCCATGAACACAGTCATCTTGATGTGTTCGTTGAGTGGGTTTCCCACTAGGCACGCCGTGAGCTCCCGTATCTCTTGCACATACTCGTGCAGTTCGCGCATCCCTTGTTTACACGCGAGGAAGCGCGAACGCTGGCGGTACTCGTAGCTCGCCGGGAGGAACGCGGCTCGGAGCTGTTCGCACAGCTGAGCCCAGGATGTGAAACATCCAGGGGAGGTTGCTTCCCGTGTGTACACCCAACTCTTAGCACGGCCGCTAAGGTTGGAGAGTGCAAAAGCAGCACGCAGTTGCTCGGTCGAGATCAGAGCCGCGTCCATCGCGAGCTCTACTTCTCGGACCCAGAAGTGAAGGTCCTCGCCTTCCTTCCCTTCATACGGCTTAACCTTCAGCCGTATTGGCTTCGGGTGAGGCGGATTTGCTTCCGCCGCCGGAGCCTGCAGGTTCTCTCGCACATGCGCGATGAGGCCCTGCTCGTACGCGTCGAACGCATTGACGCGCACGAGCTGCTCAGCCGGTGTTGACACCACCAGGCTCTGCAAGGCCTCCATCCCGAAGATGCCTGCCATCTTCCGAACCGACTCGAGCTGAGAGTCGTTCATATGGGAGAAGTCGTTCCTATCCATGGCAACGAACTTCGGAGAGGTTCAGGCAGTCTACCCGCGGTGGCGTGGATTTACTACGAGTGCTACCAAGTGTGACGGGGTCACACATCACCTTGCGCTAGAGGAAAGTTATCTTCCGAGAGTATACAAACTCTCAGTGAGCGGCAGTTCACAGGTCCACTCTTTATTTAAAGAGAGCGAAGTGACCTAAATAAGGTAGATTGTAAACTGAGTATATTTATAGGTAGGTTAAGTTTGGGTTTAATACAAACTATAAGTTACCTATAGAAATGCAATGTCGTTTGACCAATGGTTGGCTTTGAACGACCTTGGTACCTTGTACCAAATATCCCGGAGTATGACGTGTCATGCACCTGAAGTGTGAAGTGTCACACTTCATGTAACAAGGGTACACTTAGGGCTACGTACCCCGTTACACAGACACTTCATCTTTATCATCACTAACCCCATTGTAGTAATTTTTGGTGATGAAACCGAGGAGATGCTTGCCGTCTAGCGATTCACGCACTCGGGCCTTCCAGACGTCGAAGTTGCGAGAACCGGTAAGTCGAGGGAAGTCGTCACACGAGGCTTGGTGGGGCTCATTACCTGTTGAGGGGAGCACGGCGAGGTAGGGTCTTGAACAATGAAAGGAAGAAAGAGTAAAATCAATTGTGAGATTAAGATTTAAGTGGACAAGCTAGACTTGCTGTTTACAACAGTTAATTAGTATGTGGTACTCTTAAACACTGTCTGAAGTTGCTGCTACCAGTCAATATCTAAAATGTACCCGTCATTTTAAGACATAAGATTTTAGAGTCATGATCCCTTTGTCCTTTCACCTTTAGTTTATACAGGACATGGTTGCTCAACACTGGCGAAAACGAAGTGAGCAGGAATCCAAGCTGAAAATACTGGACTAATGCCGTGCTAAGCCCGGTGAAGCTCTGGATATTACGGTATTTTCAAAAAGTAATAACTAGTGCGGAATGAAGGACTTTTTAGAAGAAAAAAAGGAGAAGAATTGCGATTTAACTAAGACTTCCAGTCTAGAAGAAGACATCAACAAACCGAGCGAGAATGATTGTCATTCATTTGAGTGGCTATCCCTAAACTTTAAAAACTTAAAAACAAGGTGGTACCCTAACTTAAGAAAGTACTGTATTTAAAAGAAGACCTGTAACAATTTTTCCACAGCATTATGGTTTCTTAATCTGCTCGATCCTCAATTGCATGAAGTCTTTGGGTCTCTGCCAGCGCATCACGACGTAGAGCAAAATACTCCAAAAACGCTTTCGTAAGGGGGGCCATGAGATACAACTGCGATAACGTTTTCACTCGAGCATAGAAAGATGAACGCTGAGGAATTCTGCGAGTCGGATGACGAAGCGGAGCAAGAATCATATTCTCTACTGTCAGTCCTCCCTTTGAAATACCCGACGTGGTAATTTGTTTTCTTCCTCTGATGTGTGTGATGTGTGTGTGTGTGTGTGTGCGTGCGTGCGTGTGTGTGAGTGTGTGTGTGAGAGGGAGGGAAGCTTACTTACGCGTTACGTCGTAAGGTTGATGTGTATGAGGATACAGTTTAGCCAAAATGAAGAAGCCGCGGTCGAACGTGCGTTGTCGTCCGACCTTGCTATCTTGACGCGAGACGGCCTCGATAGGAATCCTATTAGTATTCATCTATTCCCTTCTTTAAAACATGTAGCCTTCATGTACTGTACCACCCACCATCGGTGGTATCGTATATTGGAGCAACATCCACCTAAAACCAGATAGCGTGAATGTTGACCCAGGCGGCTTGGAACGACATTCACCAGTGTTTTTTATGCTTTACCGTAGTCTATTAGGTATTCCGTCCTTTTAGCTTATCACTTGGAAACCACTATACTTTTAATAATTACAAATGTAGCACCCTAATATTTTATAGAGGATCGTCGACGGTTTTCGATCGCCCCTAAAACTCTGGATATGAATATCCAGAGAACTGTGATGAATCGCCGTTGGAAGGCCTTCCAGGATTTTCTGGTGCAGGTGGCAGCAATCTGACCTCGATACTGACGGAAACCCAAGTTCCAGGCCTTGTAGCAAAAGTGCTGGCTGGTATCCGTTCGTCACAGACGGACCCGAGTCGTGAACTTGCAGATGTCGTGGAGTCTTTAAAGGCCAGGCTATTGCAGTAAATATGCATACTCGTACCCATCGAACGTTAGAGCCACACTCTCTAAGATGTTTGGCTACGTTTACTTTAATAAATTCTTGGACGAAACCAAGCGCTACTTGCAGGAATTTGTGACTGTAGTACGCCGCTCGCGTCAGAGAAGAGTAAATATGTTCATACTCAAGTGGTCACGCCGACTGATCGGACAAGCCAGATGAAGAACTGGTGCGCAGCATGGCGGATGTACTGAACGCATTAAACGAGGAGAATAAGCGAAGTACTCACGTAGTTCGACTTACGAGCTGCTCGCGCTGAAGCTGCGATAAGGAATGTGCGAATAAAAATACATTTGGCGTGCAAATTTTTTCTAAGGGGGGGGGGTAAATAAAAATTGTAGGCTTACTTATAACAGCGACACTGATGATGAGTCTTAGATTGCATGAGCAAATAATATAAAAATACTCATTATTACCCAACTCAATCTACGGCATCAACCGCACACTCGCACTTCCTAATCCTCCTCCATAAGTACTGCCAACTTGAGCCTCTTCTAGGCCATTGAATGTTGTGATTTCGAAGTCATACATTGCCGCAGGAATGTGTTCGATACTCTGCACGGCCGTTAAAATGTGCAGCAGCGCATTCTGCAACGCTGCTTCCGTCTCCCCTGCACACAGTTCCCGCTCCTCTACAGCAACAACCAGTCAGTATTACATCTTGTCTCCCCTTAACGAACAACCCCGCACCTTGTGACGCTGCGGGTGACGACGTGACTGTGAACGGAATGATCCATTTCTCAAAGACTGTCTTCTCCTCATTGGACATAAGTCCGAACAACGCCTTCTTCACCTTCCGCTCGAAGAACGTCACCACAATGTAGCCACTATTGGCTCCTCTGACATTGCTTGTCCCTAGGGACTTGTTAGGCGGTTGGCCATACGCCGGCATCATTCCGTTGCTCGTCCCCATGACATAACTACTTCCTCCAAGTACCGCCGCCTCTTCGAAGCTACGCACCGCGTGGTCCACTTTACGGCTAACATCCCCTACAGCGCACAAAGCGTACGTGATGTTCGGGAAAGCGTGGCATGTCGCTTCGCTTGGACGCACTGGTCCGGGAGCTCGTGTGAACAGAATAGTATGCAGTAAGCACGTTACAGCGTCTCCTACGTCCTCTGCAGCTACAGGAATCTCATCCAGACGATGCTCTTTCATGGAGGCAGCAGTTACGACCCCACCGGTGTTGACAGCGCTGCCCACGGCGCTCGATGTGACGCCCAGCATTCTCAGGATTCTCAGACTGGCCCAAATTACTTTAAAAAAAACCTGTCATTTTAAAGAGGTAATGTAGTGACATAAACGGATAAATTTAAATTTAGTACACAAATTCAAGTTGATAAATCATGTGTATTTGTTTTACACGTTAGCATTTTTACAACAACAAATTTTGATCACTTGTCGTGAGCTTTTCCCACAATCGTACAGCAGACACTCCCGTCGTGGGCATATTTTCTCCATTGCCCCATAGTGTATGCCAAATCTGGTTGCATGTGGCATTCTGATACCCCCCCCTCTCCATCTGCTCCTGCCGAGTCTTAACTTCCTGCTGAAGCTGCTGGACTCGAGAAGTGAGAATTTGTATCAGCTCTGTCTGCGATACAGCTTGCGGTGCTTCTAACTTTAATGGAAAGACGCACTTGGGTGCCCATGCCACGTCTACGACGTCCAGCTTAACCAGTACTTCCAACAACAGCACTGTGTCCCCCTCTTCGTGGGTGAGGTGAAGTCTCTCCTGGGTTGAATCCTTTAAACTGGTCTGTCGACACCAATACGCACGTATCAGTCTGTTAATCTGTATTGCACCGAATAATTTACAACACGCACCGCAACATATTGCAGAACTGTTGTCGCAGGTAGCATGATCCCCTCCGGCGCAAAGGCACCAATATCCGTCACTTCGCACGTCCTCCAAACGCTTAACACTGAAGCGGAAACGCTCGCCAGCAAACGCGTCAAAGTCGGCGTACCAACGACCTCCTTCATGATGATAATCCGTAAATTTGGACACTTTTTGGACCACTATTTAAAAATAGTGGTCTAAAAAGTGTCCTATTTTACTAATTTAATTAAAATTGGTGAAGCAACTATTTGAATCGGGACTGAAAATGCTTCTCTCCCACCAATTTATAGGAATTCGATTTTATGTGTAATACACGAAAAATGTTACAATAATTTCATTGGCTGATAAAGTAATTTGCCACTTTAGTGCGTGATGTTAAATGCATGCACGGTGCGTTATGTCTGCCAATAATGCTGCTTGATTTAGAAATGGTCCAATCTTATTGGTTAATTATGCCATGACCAGTTTATTGCGTGCTTCTCCCTCTGGAACTAAACTGGTCATGTATATATCTTTTCAGACAGGGATTTGATTGTACCAACCACGGCCACTCACTTCGTGCACAGGAGCATGGAAGCGGAAGAGGGAGGGTGTGACGGGGTCACACAGCACCTTGCGCTAGAGGAAGTTAGCTTCCGAGAGTATACAAATTCTCAGTGAACGGCAGTTCACAGGTCCCCTCTTTATCTAAAGAGAGCTAAGTGACCTATTTAAGGTAGAATGTAAGCTGAGTATATTTATAGGTAGATAAAGCTTGGGTTTAATACAAACTATAAGTCACCTCTAGAAATGCAATGTCATCAACCAATGGTTGGCTTTGAACGACCTTGGTACCTAGCACCAAATATCACGAACTATGACGTGTCACACTTCATGTAACCAGAGTACGCTTAGGGCTACGTACCCCGTTACAGAGATACTACTACGGAGAGAATAACACTGCGGAGCGGTGGGGCCTACACGGCTACAGACCTGAAGACAGCTCTAAATAGAGTGCAGCAAGGAAAGAAGTACGCCGTCGTATCGCGCATGACAAATATCCTTTGAGGGCACTGTTTAAGAAAGCCAAGGACCAGAGAGAGAGAGAGCAAGTCTCTACCAGGCAGCCGCCGCAGCACTAAGCAAGCGCTGCCAGCGGGGCTTGAGGCGGACTTAGTATAATGGGTTCCTGCTATACAGCGGCCGTAGGTTTTTCTGGCATTCTTGTTAAGGCCAGCGAAGTATACCTCGCGATGCAGCACATGCCAACGCGGCACACAGCACCGCCAAAACCGCTCACGACGGGTTGGTATCACCATTGTATTGAACGGCATTCGATCCTGACTCCACGAATTGCTCAGCAGATCGCCCGCGTCAAAAACCGTGTTGGGGTGAAAGCAGTGCGGGGTCTATTCTACACGGCGACGCGACTCGTTATCAAACACAAGCTCGATAAGAGTCACGTCTACAATATGGACGAGGCATCTTTTATACCAAAGGCATCGTCTCGGAAAGTGGTCGCTTTTAAAGGATCATCTAACGTGTGGACACAAAAATCAAAAGCAAACTTTCACATGACCTTGGTGGCTGCAGTAAATGCTGCTGGCAGAACAGTGCTTCCGCTTATTATTCTACCGGGCTAGCGCATCTACGGTCATGAAATGGGCATGATCTCAATTGACAACATTTCTGTGACTGGATAGCCGAAGGGTTTCAGCAACGCAGGCATCTTTAACCCCCCCCCCGCACTTACGGCTATTTTCGGTCCCTGTCTACGACCCCACATGTTGTATATACAACATGTTAAAAATAGGCTAAACTTGAATTTTGTATTGACCTCCGTAAGTACGAATACCTTTATCTGGACTGCGGGAAGGTCAGACGCTCGGTGATACATTGATTGCGAGCTTCTTCGCAGCGCTATGTAGCCACATGCTGTCTAAGACACCCACGCTGCGCCAACAAACCTGAAGAAGACGTATATCCAACATATTAGAGGTGTCCCTTTTACAGGGCTTGAACATTCCATGTACGAAGCGCAATGGCTATGTGTACAGTCATCAATGATTGCAACACATTTATATTGAATCAGGTTAGGTATTCATCGACAAGCCCACTCTTACTCGCTATCGTCCTCTCCAGCACATCCCTCCCCACCACTTCTCTCTTCAGCGCCGACATCAGGTCGGAACCAGCGCCCCCCTTCACAGTACCGCTGCCAGCGCCTCCTTCCTCCGCACCGCTGCCTTCGGAACCAGCGCCCCCTCCACAGTACCGCTGCCAGCGCCTCCCTCCTCCGCACCGCTGCCTTCGGAACCAGCACCCCCCTCCACAGTACCGCTGCCAGCGCCTCCCTCCTCCGCACCGATGCGTTCGGAGCCAGCGCCCCCCTCCACAGTACCGCTGCCAGCGCCTCCCTCCTCCGCGCCTGTAACTCTGCTAGAAACTCGGCATGATCAGCACCTTCACCAACCATTTTCCGAGCCTCACGGAAAATGATATAGGCATTCACGAGTGCCATGTCGACTAGGCCTAAGAAGACCGTCTTGTAGTACTTTCGAAAGCGTACCGAGAGTTGCAGCGAATAGCGCTGTAGCCTTAGCTGGTCGTGGATATCAACCCCGCCCATCCAGCGATGATAGGCGCGCATCGCTGATGGGCAGGGTATGATTTCCTTTCTGCCGCCACGTAGATGCCGCCCTTCGATGGTACAGCAACAACGGCATAAGTTAGGAAGCCGTCGTCACTAAGACACGACCAAAAAGTAACTTACTGCAGGTTTCAATAGATGTACTGCTGCCATTCGAGAGAAGGTAGACAGGAAGGCGGTCCCACCAAAGCATTACCTGTAGAAGATCGCAGCCCTTTGCGACGGCGATCGTGCTGGTCCCGCGACGGATATGAGCTGGACGAGCTGCTGCTTTGGTCACGAGGGCTGGCGGAAACCCTTACTTGTTTGGCTGTATAGTGCCAACCGTGTATACAATCCGAGCCAGGAGCTGCAAAGCTAGCTGGATTGACGTATACAATCGATCCGTCACCACAGCGTGGTACACACCTTCTTCTGGGGCAGGAAAAACTTCATGCAGATTACGGATAACCGCTGCAGGGCCAGAGCTCGGGTCTGCTGAAAATCGGGCCGTCGATTGACCTACGAGCTCGTCTGAGTGCTGGTTAGTTCCACAAAAATACTTCCATACTTCGATGCAACACAATACAACATTTCAAAACAATACAGAGGTAGACAAATACAGCATGTGAGACTTAGCCAAAAAAAACAAATACTCCAGGATGGAGGCCGCCAAACTACGTACCGTAGACAATACGCTGTGTCAGCAAAGCATGTCATAAACAGGTTTGTGCCCCATTGGTGGGGCTTGTCCTTCATAAATTGCCTGGTCACGTTGTGACGACTTCTTGATGGAATCATGGCCTCGTCGAACGACACAACGGGAGGGACGTTGTATCCCCTTGCAAACGTCTGCTGTAGCGTGTCCACTACGGAGCGGACTTTTTAGGCGCGGTTCGTTTCAGCTCTTGGGTCTGTGTTGTCGGTAAAATGCAGGTTTTGCATGATGCGCTCAAAGCGCGACTTCCCCACGAAGTCGCCAAATGTGCCTTTTGGAACAGCACCTACCCGGGTCGTTCCCCAGTGATCCGCAAAACGGCGCTTGTGAGGGACCAACATCCTCGCGATAAGGAGCCCGATACAATGCCCAATGTGCTCTGGCTTTATGTCCTTGTGTTTCTTGGTCTCCCGCAACATCACAGCTTCCCTAGTCAACTCTGCATCATCAGCCACTCGCTTCGCATGTATTCTGTCAACCCGTCCATTGAGATGCTGATGATAGTATCGATTACTCTCAGTAGCTATCCGGCGCCAAAGCCGACGAGGCATGAAGAAGAAGAAGAGCTGTAATGGGGACTCGGCTACTTCAATCGCTGCCTCCGTTGGTCCATTGTCACCACTGTATAGACTCGGGTATGGTTCTGCTCGTTCAGGATGCGATGCGGTATCTAAACATCATACAACATATACCACATTAGTTTCATGTTGTATATACATCATCTCACAAACCATACCAAACTCCCAGCCGTCTACTCGCATCTTCTTCAGAGCAGCATCATCCTGCGCGAGCGCTTGCATCTCGTCTTTTGTCAGCGTGTCCCAATTGTTTGTGGTTGTGTTCCAGTCACGTCGCAGCTTGCCGATAGCTGCCTGCAGACGTCGCTTCTCCAGCTCTCTTTGGGCTTTCCTCTTGTCACGATTGAGGAGCGCTGCACCGTCCAAACTACCATCACTATCACTTGAAAGAATTTCATCTGCATCTTCTCTGAGAAGGTCGTCGTCCGTGTGCTTTGCAGACAAGTCCTTCTCCTCAATATACCAGTCATCCGAATCTTCGCCTTCGCCATCCAAGTCCGAGTTGAGAGCTCCATTATCATAATCTTCAACGGATGCATTCATAGCTGGAGCGAAAACGTGAGTGGCTCAGTCGTGTCCATACTCAAAACCCTGTCCCGAAGTAGTTCACATCACGCGTCAATATACATCTTCTATGCGTTCACACATGCAGTATATATATCATCGCAGAAGCTACCTGGCCGTTTGATGTCTGGTTGGAGGCAGGGCTGTGGCTTCGAGTGGTATTGGTGGTAATTTGAAACAACATAACATCAGATACAACATTAAAACAATTAGTTAATGTAGTATGTTCAGCATGTCGAGAATCACGTACTTTGATGCAGACAGCATACTCTTGTCGTCTGCATCTGAATCCTCAACTGGTTCAGCAAGGTGCGGACTGGCGGTTTTCTTCTGCTTCTTCGCTGCGGGAGACTTTGACGATTTCTTCCTCCTTGCTGCTGCTAGTGCTTTCAGCACTGCTTGGCGCGCTTCAGCCCCGCTGCGTTCTTCGTCGACCACGTGCGCACGTTCCCTTGCTTTCTCGGCATCACGTCGTGCAGATATAGACTCCAGACGGGCTACAGCTTCCATTTCTTTAAACGCGTTCCTTTCCTTCGCCAAAGCTTCGCGCTGGGCCTTGGTCATCTTCTTCTTCCCTTTTCCAGTTTTTTTCTCCGCTTTGGCCTTGGCTGCGAGACGAGCTGCCAGCAGCTTCTTTGCCGCTGCAATGTACGACGCCGTCTTTCCAACAGGTGG